ATGCGTGGGCAATTTTCGGACAGAGGCCCGTAAGTTAGGAAGTTCAACGGAATCGCAGGTGTACTCACTGGGCCACTGGAGCACAATATCGGGGTTCCGTTTAAACGGGTGACATAAAACCCTACAGGTTGGAAGGATATGTGATTGTCTACTTGTTGCTGTGGCAAGAGTGAAGAATTGAGAGCGATAGACTGATTCCCTGAAGCCATTTATTGGATGAACGGTCGGAAGTCGTTGTCTGACTATGATGACACGCAAAATGGACCCATAATCAAAGAAGAGTTTGATCCTTTTAAGTGAAATGTAAGGTTTAAGGATTGCAAAGCTACGTAATACAATATAACTACTGTAATTCATTACCACCTTCTGATCACTGTTTACCATCTGTTTAGTTTCAGAGGCAAATTGACAACTTTGGAAGCGATCACCGATCCCATTGTGGTCAATGTATATGACGAATTCACAGTAGTCAGTAACGCGGCTCGGTCTGGGGTCGAGCGGAACGTTATCCAGCGAACGGAGAGAAGATTATTGGGTGGCCTGGAGATACCATTTTCTACAGTTTATCTAAACGGCAGAGTAGGTTATTTGATGAGAAAATATTCGTTCATTTTTTGTGGGTCATGGTATAAATAACTTTCAAAGAAAATGGCGTTAAATTGCCCTAGTACTCAGATCTAGCAGTAAGAATTTATTTAGTAGTAGTGAGACTTCATTGTTTGATGATGTGTGACAATGTCAGAATACCATGTTTTGACGAAGCAGCTTCCCAGTGCTCTTTGTCGGTCATCACAAGTACCACAAGTATCATATATGACAAACGTTGATCCAAAATCAAAACACGGATTACTCAGGGCCTCAGGCACGCGAAGAGTTCGGGTGGTCTTGGATAGTCCAGTACAACCACTTGCCCAGGACTGTCCCAGCAAGATTGGTGATTGTTGTGTCCGCTCGAGCAGTCGCATGCACACAAACACGTTCGCTCCGTGGCGCGATTAACTGACTCAGCTAGGAGAGACATGGGCCTGCCAGTAAACACACACGACCGCGCACGCTGCACAAGCATAAATGGCCATTAACCTTGACATCTGAGCCGATTGCTGTGTACAGTGTTCACTTGCCCCTGTGCCTGCTTGCGGATGTACTACTGCGCTTATTGAATAGGTTGGCCGTACAAAGCAATTTCTTGTATGGTACGTTCTTTCTGTCACTTAGCACATAACAGTGATCCGACTTCGACGTTTTGGATACCTTCTGCACAATTTGAATAAAAATGTCAAAACACTACCCCCCGCGCAACGGATTTCACGTAGTTGGTACTATTGGGGGCTCAAGCATTATCATGCTTCAGCTGATTTGAGTACAATACGATTTAATGCCGAATGCCAACTCCAACGTTTGAGTAGGGTAATGTGCTATTCAAGGAACTCTGATTTGCCCCTGCCTAGGTGCCCGGATTTTACTCGACTAAAAGGGCAATTTCTTGGGGTAAAACTTTAGAACGAAGAGCCGAGAAGTGGAAGGTACAGTTTAAATCATTCACTAACCGCACACATATTGAGTTCCACACTGCCATAACGATCAAGATTTTGACGTATTGGTATGTTTGTATTGTCCTAAGAAAAGGTCATTCTTCTGACGTTCGTGGTACTCAGTCCATCAAATGGGTCACATGCTTGTATCCGTTAAACACCGATTTGGATATTGTAGCTTGACAGGAATTGTTAGGACGGAGCGGACAGAACCCGTCAGGTCACGCATGGATCCACGTGACACCACAAGTGCGCTCGATTCCGGATTGGATGACTAAGGCGAATCAGTCGTGATCAATAATACACTCTGATTGTCATTTCTCCAACCGTGTTCTCTCTGTGTATCATTGTTGTGTGTACAAACTAATTGATGCTGGCTCAGTCACCGGGTAAGGAACTGACTGTAGTTTGAAAAAACCTTTCTATACGCTAGCCAATCTGAAGCCTTCACTGATCCCGGTACGACGGCTCCACCTGGGTCGATAACTTCTTATTCATCTATCGAACGGCTAACTGATTCGACAGGGACTGCTTTTAACGGAACATCTGTTACCAGTGCCACCAACTTAGTAAATTGAAACTGTCCTTCGTAAAGTTTAACTGTGCTTTATTTCACAAACAAATACATGTCGGCAGGTCAATAAAAACACGATCGACTTAATCTATTGCTCCTAATAATTGTGTTTCGTGAAGGTAAGCATTAAGGAAAAAAGAAAGAAGAGAACGCTATAATTTTCTAGACTACTGAAAGTGACTAGAAACAATGAGTTCATTTCTGAAGTTGCAAAAGGTCGTCATAACAGTGCCAATGAAGTAATGTGTCTCATTATCTCCATCGCCGCCTATCCTGTCTGATTTCTATATTCCTTTAGACATTCTATCACTAATGGCAATTTCCTACCTATTTGTTTACAGTAGTATGCATGACGTGAAACGAGAAGCAAATACTACCGTAAGTTTATAGGGTGAAGATTTCGTTCAATTGCACAACTGATTTCGTCGTGTAGAGAGCAAAAGAAACATGAACTGAAACGCTCGAAAGCACTGAGAAGCTGTTTTGACCCTATTTAATTCTCGTCAGCGACGCCAATTCATTTATCCAACTCAGGAATGAATCGGAGATTTCATGGGTAGAACGCGAGCGTACTACCTACTCTCTTAGTCACCGAAAAGCTGATCATACAGTTCTGCTTTGGGTTCGATTCTGAATCAGGTGGATGGATTCGCACAGATGATCCAGCAAGATCTAAACCGCCTTCAGGATTTTTGCTTTATGGGTTTTTGGCTCGTTACTTGAAAAAATGCTTTGTTTGATACTATCATTACTCATGTTTGTATTATGCTTATTATTATTGTCACATTGATGCTTACATATGTAGAAAACTTAGCAGCCCCTTTAAGGTGCACGAAACTATTTAGCACAAAAAAGAGAATTCTTCGTAGCGACTTCTACATTTTTACCACACTAGAACGCAAAATATCTATTCAATTTTATCGAGTATCTGCATGACTCATATAAGCTTACATGTTTGTATTTCAGCTCTCAATATGACTCAACTCAATGTAGACGTGAAACACACTTAGTTGTTTTATTATCTAACTTATTACAATCATTCCAGTTTTGTGTGTGTTTCCTACCTCATTCACATTGTTTATCTGTTTTTGAAACCCGATGTACTGAACCATTCATTCACCTCCTCCCTGCCCGTCTTTGAATCCCGATACCCTGATGCCCATGTCACAGGTGGATGGAAAAGTTTTACTAAACGTGCCACTCATCTTGCAAGGTTACGACTTGTATGTTGACGGTCATGTTCCGGCAAAACCAATGCTGCATCTGTTTATCGCCCTAGAACCGTCTGTTCATCCGCCCGATCCTCTTCAAACAACAGTGAGTATGCGCCCTCCGACCCCCCCCTCCAGGCCGCCGCCACCGCTGTCTGAACAGACCACTTAAACCGAACCCCTGTTGCCCTATGAATTATCATCTTCTTTTGGCGAGACAAAACTACTCCATATTGTCGATTGGTAGTAGAGATAGGGACAAAATAAATGCTCGGCATGCAGAGTCATTTTTTCCCGCCATCCTGTACATTTGATCCAAATGTCCGTACCGTTGCACGAGTGGGGCATGATAAATGTCAGTTGCTTCACCAACACTGTTGTTCGGTCTCTGAGATAGGGGCAAAAATCTCACCCGTGAACCAGTTACTGAGCTGTTCATTAATCTGCACAAGTGATTTCCTACTTCTATGCTCAACATCTTGTTCAGTCATCACACCACATGGCTTTTTACGACAGAGATTCTCTCAAAGGAACTTTTCGTGTTGATGCGTTCGGGAAGTAGTTCACGTCATTTTTCACAGTGGCCGTTTCGCAATGCGAGAAAGGTAAACTTCACTAAACACGGCATGACTGACATCAAACACACCCGTGCCCATACAGGAAGGATTTGAGACCAAGAGCTGATTTGAATAAATAACCATGAGAGGGAATAGACGGAAGTTCTAGAATGTGGGCACCAATGTATCGATGGGCAGACAGAGAATTCAGGTGTGCAAAGTTTTACGAAAAGATTGCGTAAATCCACAACACTCAGACACAATGTCACTCACTGTCTTTAACCACCGGTCCTACTGAGCCGGTGGTCCCCAACCGGGTAGCCCAGCTCAACCTATATAGGTGATTTCTTCAGTCCGGTCTTAGCTTGTCCACCTTTGACTATATTCCAACAACCACCTGCTTCGGAAGACGGGACACGTCGATTGAACTGCTCGCGCAACTTTGTCACCCAGTTTTGATCTGATCGTCTGGTTAGTGATTGATTATGTCATGTCGTCTGATCCTGGCAACCTTTGGGTGTGAATAACCCACTTTTTTCTGTTCAGTTTGAGGGTGGTAGATCCGAATATCCACCGTTTCGGCTGTGCATAGCATAACTTTCGTCAGTTGGCTAGATAGGTTCATCGAGGACCTGTAGTTGACCTGTGAATGACCTTCGAAATCTACCAAAGTCCCGGTGTTGATCAATTGCTCGACAACTGATTTGTGAGTGACACTTCCTGACATTTCCTCAAACCGGGCAGAGGATAATCTTGAATCTCTTTAGTCAAAAACCCATTGGTAAGACCTATGTAACCGGCTTCACCGAAACAAATGAGCCCCAAAGTACAACAACCCATGAATCTAAAATCTCACACATATACATCCCCCAGTTCTAGATTGAGTGTTTCATTCGATTGTGTACTACTCATTGCCCCTACCTGAAAACCGGTCACCTGATTGCTCACTAGTTTCTCATTCCCCGATTGACATGCGCATTGCACAGTTTGCATGTATCGAACCATCTGAGGTGTTGGCTCTCTTCACGGAATGGACACAAAAGTTGGCCCAGTATAAAACGCTAAATCCGAATCAATTCAGTCCACTGGTTATGAACACGGATTGTAANNNGATTGTAAACAAATCATGGTGACTCGATATTTGTCCGCCTTGAACCCGCCGAAAGAATTGCTCCCCGGTCCGGATACCGGACTCTCATGGAATGAGGCTGTGGTGAGTTTTGTGGGGTAAAGGGTATCGTGTATATACATACTACGTTATCCTCCTTTTCAATACTTCTTGCCTTGTTCCATTGTTTTCGCTCAATCTCTTGATCACTCGCCATAGAAGATAAGGATAAGGCGTCACGACGAACCATTATTTCATACCCAACTACAACCGGTCACCCGCATTCTCGAAAAGCACCGGACTCAAATTTCACTCTTGTTAGAGCTCATCAGTAGTGCCCAACCACCACTCCGTTTGGGATTTGAGCCCATCGCATAGAAGGCAAATGTTACAACTGTGCGAACCAGGTCTCACCCAGGGATAACCAAAATGACCAATTCATGTTTGACACCACAGTTCAAGTTTTAGAAACGAGGGGAATATGAGTCGCTGGTAAGCTCTAATCAGAGAGAAACTCGATTCTACGTACTACTGAAGGTAAGGCTGAATGGATGAACTAAGGATTGCTCCTGGAGATGGAGTTTGAAGAATAGTCAATTTAAGTCAGTTGATTTTGAGTTAAATATGAAGCAGCATTTTGGAGTATTTTGGCCGGGGGACAGTTTCCTGTTGCAAGCAGAGAAGAATCTTCATTTTTGTTCTTCATGCTCATATGGATGTTTCGAGTCCACCAGTTTGCATTCTCTCTCTCAGTACACTCCAACTCAGTGTTGTTCTTTGAACTGGGGTATTTCAATTGATTTTCCTGACTGATCACAACAGTTTGCACACAACTGGTTACGTCGATGCACTTGTGTGGTTGGGTGAGTTCAAAAAGTTGAGTTGATACCAATGTATGTATATATATATATATATAAACTGACAAGATATAAGTTTGTGTGAGGTCAAACTGTAATTTGTTCCCTGGATGTGATTTCAGCATTGGAGGATCTTGCTCTGAAGTGACTTTCCCCCTGAACAATAATGTTAGCCTGATGAACTCCCACATGGGCCTTCCATAGCATAGTTAGACATTCAGCGGTTGTACTTCAGTACTCCAATTAGTGCCAGTGATCGGCTATCGAACATCCGAACATTGAGGTATAAGAAGAAAGTAGGAATATTTCGGTTATTTTACTGGAGGGCACCAAGTGAAGGAGTATTGGTTTCCAAATGGCTCTTGAATAGTGTTCTGATATGTACTACAATCCTTGTATCTCTGTGGACCCGTATTTGATCACACTGAATCCAGTCATGTTCTTTTTATTGCTATCCAGGAAAATTCATCAGACACCTCTCTTGTCGATGCTATCTTTCATTGTTGAATCACCACACTGGCCCATGGTGCAATGATTTGAAACCGCAATTCCATCAGAGTGGTCGATGTACGGTAGTCTTAAAGTAAATTATAGACCTTATCACATAATTGGTTTCAAATCAGGACCCTACAACAAACAAATGATTTGCCGATGATTCATCGACCAACCGTTTGCCGTCTCACCTCAGTGAGAATACCTTCTTAACCGGAATATAGTGAGACGATGAGGGGGGAATTCCACCTGCAGAGGATATGCATACTGTCCATCTCGTCAGAGGGCATTACGAGAAGATCGAAAAATGATGAAATGCATTTGCAGGATCTCCCACTCTCCATTGTATTGTGGCATTCGGAGACGATCAATCAGCATAAAAACAATTGTGGTGCTCCTAGGATCAGTGATCCACTGACTAGATGGACGGAGTTTCCATACAGTAACGGACAAATGATGATATTTTCTGAATTTTTTTCCGGCAGCCTTTAAATGACCGCGGCCCCCTGGCTGAACGTTGGTTGTACGTTTGTGTATTCAATAAACGAAAAGGAAGTAAAGAAACATTTGCATTTTATTTATTTTTATTAACAGCATTGTGATTCGTATTTCTTCAAATTCAAAGCACAATTCATTTACCTGACAGATAAGTTAGTATATTTTTCTCCGTTATTCAGTTCGAAACGATATCTATGGTTTGATGCATCCAACTCGATTTGATCAACTCTGTTTGCCCCGGATGAGTCAACTGAGATGCTGTCACTTTCTTATTAATTATTTTGCTATTTTGACTCACTTTCTGTGCAGCTTCGTTTGGCTCGCTACGTTTCACTCATTCCATACGAGTCCGATGCGGCTTACTTTCGTGGTCTATCCGATCTGTGGTGCACGAGTGACGTAAGTTCTCCCATCAGTTCTGTTTCATATAATTTACTTCTGACTGGGATAAAACAGGAATCTCTGGTGAAACTAAAAATTTGTTTACAAACCTATTTCATCACCAGCCGAGGTGACATGTGACAGTGTTTGTGAAGTGGTAATTAACAATACCGACAAATCATACAAATCGATAAGACGCTGGCCCAGAGAAAGCTTCTTTTGTTTCAGAAAAGTGTCCCGCTTCTTGTGTGAAGAAGCGGTAAATCCCCATCGCCACACGGATCTACTGTACACACAGGGTAACCCCGTGACTTATAATGGTGGTTGGGAGTGATTTCGTTGGGTCACATAAAATCCGTCAAAATTGGGCTCGAAACTCGCACCTAAGTAATCAAAGACACTAGTATAGCGACTTTAACAACCTAACTATCATCATTCTGTCCATCTAGTAGAGCATTTAGTTTGAGTCCGTTTCAAACCGTCTATACTGGTTAACATGAATGGACTCTGATGGATTAAACAGGGCAGCTGAAATAATTGAATAGTTTAAGTCTCGTTCGACAGCCTTCTGTGTGTGCATTTCATTCGACCAAAAGGCATCGCAGTATCACTGGTATATTCCATACGATATCATAAAAAGGAAAATGGTCTGTTGGACTCGTGGAGTGAAATGAAATGAAAAATGAAAATAAAATGAAAATATCCATACGATCGGGAAAATTCCGTGTAGTTTCATTGGCATGAGAATTCAATCCCTTGGTGTGTCTCCGACTGTGGGAAACTTCAGTTATGAACAACCACACAACTAATACGCATCTAGGACAACTATTCTAAGAGCGTTTCCGTCAGATGCATTATTTTGATCGATTCTTTTCAAAATCACATGCCCCGCTCCTTGAATTCAGTAAATAATGGACCCAAATGCGATCGGTGTTCAGAAGTCATGTGCTCCCGAATTCATTCTAATAGGTTTGGTCATCGCTGTTCCAGTCCGTACGTCTGAACAGTTGAACAGTGTACTCGTGGACTTGAGACTAAAGGGTATCAGTGTTCGTGTGATTCGGTTGGATTTCGTTGATTGATCGTTTTTGTGAGATGCACTTTTGGTTCTTCTGAGACTGTTCCCCCATCGGATTACATTTGGGAATTGCTTTTCAGTTATTCTTTTGATCCTTCTGTCCACTTTGGTTTTCTATGAAAGACAACTTTTGTATCTTCGGATGCTCCTCTCCATCCACTTAGGATATCCATTGAAAAGATGGCCTATTTCAGTCATCAATAACGACGTGCTCTTTGTTTTCATAAAATAATTACCAAACAATCGCATTGTCTTTCCCAATTCCACGAGCATGCCCGTATTTACCTGTGGCCTTCTTGGTTCAGTCCTGTTCTATGTTCAGCGCTCAAACTTCGTCGCTTGACAGCCCTGGTTGAGGTCAAATAAGAAATAGTATTTTTTCCGGGACTCCTTTCCATATTCAACAGCTCTAGCATCTGTTCGAACCTTTGCCTAATCTTCCCTGCTTGATCATTCTCCTTTTGATAGTTTCTGCGAATTTTTTGATCAAAATCCTCTGAATCTACTTTCTCAACACTGACAATAAGGTTATTTTTTCAGTTTGCCGGTTTGTACACCTTCTAAAATGCGCTCCCAAACTGATGAATTGCAATCCGATCTAGGGAATTTCCGGGATGTTTATTGAATAATAATTTCACCGACTAGACAATGTCACTGGACTACACCTTTTCAACTTCAAGTGAGTCCATTGTAACTTCAAGTGAATCCAACCAAACGGTAATGTCATACAGTCGAAACACGAATCATTTTTTGGGGTTCCCAGTGGAATGCGATTGGTTGGATTCACTTGAAGTTGAAAAGGTATAGATAAGAGCAAATCATTAACCGTGTGGCTCGAAAAACGGTAGCCTAATGTGCTGCACGAGAAGTGAGACTGCATTCCGTGCATGTTAGAATTCCATGAATTTTTTATCAACACTGAATAAATCTGCCCAATAAATTCTGGTGAATAGAGGAACAATACTGTTGCATCATACTTCATGTATGTGGCAGATATTCTTACAGCATCAAATACATACTTCTACTCTGATATCGCATCACCATGCCATATCGCATCCGTTTAGACTGAACACTGTGGATCTGGTGAAGTGCATATAATGACAGGTTACCAAATTAAAATCGAAGCCGAAAATCTGATCTGATATCAATGCTTGGCAGTCAGGATGAACCAGAATGAAATTTTGTTGTCTATTGCAACCAACACTCACAGTAGAGTATTATCGACCATCAATATCCTCCAATATTCACCTTGTCGTCCAATATCCACCTCAGTGGACGGGGGGCATTCATTCAAGTCCGCGCACCAAAAATACCGACTAGAATTTCGGTGTCTTCAGAATGTGTAGCAGTCAAATATATATATATATTCTTTTCTTCTGTCCTCCGAGGCGAAGTTAAGGTGTTCCTTACAATGATACAACTTCATCCGCGTGTATAGTACATGCCTATAATATTATTAAAAGTTTTATCCAAAGGGAACTGAACCCTGGATTTAAAGGAATAACAATTAATACTGGATTTGCATGTTTGACATACATATGTATCCGGGATAATCAAAATTCGTGCAACAAGTCCTTCATGAGTATCCTATTCCCGTAAGCAGTCGCGTAGACAACGAATCAGTCACATTTATCGGCTTTATACATTGAACGAGGCGTGATAAGGCTCTCGAAAAATAATTCATGTGATTGGCTTTTATTCGATTAATGCAATTGGTACAAATTCACGCGCGACTCTCACCAGATTGCCTTGATCAGAGCAGATTGTTGACAGCAGGAGTAACCCCTCAAATCCACGGAGACCGGTTTCTGCATACTCATAGGGCCCAATGATCCAATCCCCTGAGGTTCCAGGCAATGAACGTCTTCAAGCCACACTATCATGGCATGATCAGGAGCCACGCTGCCTAGTACTGAGGTTGGTTGATGTAAACGCAAGTTAAAATAAGCTTTACGTCTTCGTTGGATGAACTTTCAGTGATTCTCACAAGAATGTATTGGAAATGGAAAAGCGCAAAGGAGTTTGCTAGGGGTAAACAAAGACGACAACACAATGAGAGCAATCAGATGATGATAATAATTGCTTGAAAACTAAATGAAACAGTTAACTCATAAGGTGCTCCACCAGACTTGTAATAATTGGTGCCCGGTTCACTAAAAACGGGCAAGATAAGGGAGGAGGCTGTTTCTGTATGCGGCGGTGCTTGCGGGAGGGAGCTTATAATGGTACGGGGTTTGACATGATTTTAAGAAGTTTGTTTTACATGCAGTGATCTTTGTTGCTCAAGATTCCATCAGCTATTCTTGCACATGCTTCGATATGGTTGCAAACAAGAAGACATACCAGAACTTTTTGGGCTAGTCATCCGGTTCAAAAGCACTCCCTCAAAGACTTTCAACTGGGCTGTGGTACAAGCAATTGGTCGATACTTTGAAGACCCCTTCTTGGGAATGGGTCTTATCGGCACAGCCCTCTAGCAACCTGCGATTGTTCCGAAGGATATACACAAACTGAACAACAACAATGGGTGTTGCAAGGTGTTCGACAAAGGTTTTCAATAAAATTGGGCTGACGAATCAGGTCCATGGACCTTGTTACACTTGAGTTGCTTCAAAACTTTGGTGACCTGATTTTTAGAAACAGTTGAAGTTTTCACGGTAATTCACAGCGGATAGTAAAAAATTCAAACCAGATAGAACAAAAGATCGTGGATTTAGTTCTTCCACGTCAGAACAGGAGCTCCAACGTGTGCCACAGTTTTTCTTCAGCGCCGAACACATTTCGTGACAGCTTTGGTCGCCCAAAATGGTCTTGACATACATCCAGTTCAGGTGTAGAATCACTGCCTTGATGAGACTCGAAAGTCGTTTAACATCGTTACGCCTGCCATTCATATATGCCTTTTGCTTATCAAAGCCAAAACGTTTTAGAAGAGATAATGAAAATCTTTCAGCACGGATATATACAGTCACGAAACAGAAATTAGGGTAGCTGGTGAGATGCTTGCATCTGGAAGAATAATTGGAATTGGAGAGAACAAAAATATCAGTTGGACAAATCATATTCTGGAGTCATTTTTAGGTTTTCCGCCGCAGACGGGTTATAAACTCGGAGCTCGGAATACGACGGTGACTGTTTGATCGCCGCCAACACGTCCAGAATTCGTCGAGGGCGGGGTAGAAAGGGAAATTTATTCACCATAAGATTTCGGAATGGGTTGAGATTGGTTTCGACTCTATGCATCAATCTTTACAAATACGGTTTAAATCCGACAATGGTTAGTGAACAATGGAACGAGAGGGGAACGGAACAATAAGCAATCAACTTTCAGTGTGCTTGGGGAGGAACAATAGATGTAGACGACTGTTATTAGGAAAACACTGTGGCGAACAAAGCTTGTTTTCGATAACTTCCTGTAATGATTGTAGTGGTAATAGTGTTGTGAGATACTACTCACTTGTGAGTAGTCGGTTACTTTCAATGATTAAAAATAGAACAAGACCATCAAGGACCAAGTAATATATTTGGGAAGAATAAACACTGCCTGCTATACCCATTGTCCCATGTGTCGCGATGTGCTGCGAAGGCATGTTTCTGATGAGCTTTTCGTGTTATGCATCCAAAATTAGTGACCCTCCATCTGTATTCAGCAATAAAGGACTCTCCTCGACCAGCACCGCCTTTTCGGAATATAACAGTAGTAGTTATACGCGCGAAATTCGGAACAGCAACCACGTCACATGAGTTACAGGACCCGAATCAATAATCAGCTATCACAGAAGCACTGGACCGTAGTGGCACGGATTCACAATGTCCCACGAGAACGAGACGCGAGGGAAAGGCCACAGGTTTGGCAGTAAGTAGTTCGTTTATTGAAAAACTGAGTGTGATTAAATATAATGTACAAAGGGAGACTATTGGCTATCTGGGCCTCCACCAATGGGATTGCAGTATTGCTTACATAATTCTGCTTCTGTCTGCACTGTCTTGGATTGGCTGGCACCATCCACCAATGATGTGTATTCAGAAGCCATGCACGTGTCACTGACGTTAGCATTCAAACTTGATTAATCGGAAATGTCTTGAAACTGTAACGCGCCGCTCCAGGGTAGGCGTCATCGTATAGGCCTGGATCACCACACTTCCTCCTCGGGCTAATACAGTTATATATAGGGTTCAAAATTATAAAATTAGTGTAATGGTCAGATGTGATGAATATGATTGATTGATTGTGATCTTGTGATGTGTGGTTTGGAAATAGGAGGGCAGTGTTGTTGTCGTTTTTATTGTTGTGTGGGTCGGAAATGTTCACAGCCGGTGGATAGAGTGAGCCGTTCCATTTCCGGTCTGCGCCCTTGGGTCATAACAAAAGGTCACTGTGGTTTCGGTCGGCTGTGTCAGGTTGAGGCCACCGTAAACGAAGTGACTGGACGAATCGTTTTTGAGAACAAAGGAACGGATTGAGTAGGCGAATAGCCACCGCCTCCGCTGTAGCAAGGTGTCGTTGACGAACAGCTTTTGAGGGGTTTGCTGATACTTTGTAGATTACCTTGAAAGTGTCGTCGTTTGCTTGATGCCCCGTGTCTACAAGGTGTTCTACCAACGCAAATAGATCCACTTGTAAATACCTTTATTATTGCCCAGATCGCCACCAGTTTTACGCCCGAGTGGGAACTGGGAGATAATTTTCACTTCCTAGATGTAAAACTCACAAGATGCCAGGGAAGGATGATAAAACGCTCTGTTTATTGCAAACCAACTTGGACTGGGCATTACTCTAATTTTGCCAGTTTTGTGCCTCTGAAGCTCAAGCGAAACCTAGTCCAAACCCTTGCGTATCGAGCAAGAAGAATTTGGTCAGCAGACTGTCTGCCCCAGGAACTGGAAAGTGTAAAGCAAACACAGTTCGACAACGGTTATCCGGAATGATTCGTTTTGAAGAATTTGACAGAACGGCCGCTGAGATCACCACTGACAACAGTGAAAAGAAAAGAACTCTTCATAAAACTACCTTTTAAAGGAGTTTACAAGTCCGAGATACTTAGACGCCGATTAGAAAAGGCTATCGCTCGCACTTTCCCTGCTGCAAACCTACGTACTCAATTCATAAGCCAGCGACTGGTTTCCGTAAGATACTTTGCCTATCCTCTCCTCACCTATGATCATTTACCACCTTCTTTGCTCATGTTCGGCAAGTTATGTAGGAAGAACGATCAAGCAATTGTCTCAAAGAATCAAGGAACACAAACCGGCGTGGCTGAATACGGACATCAGGAAAACGATTACAAGTGCGTTGGTAGAACACCAACAAAAACACTGCCCTCACATTTCCAAACCATACATCACAAGATCACAATCAACCAATCATATTCATCACATCTGACCATTACACTAATTTTATAATTTTGAACCCTATATATAACTGTATTAGCCCGAGGAGGAAGTTATCTAAAACAAGCTTTGTTCGCTACAGTGTTTTCCTAATGTCACTAAGGGACTGTCGTAAGTTGATATCTACTTGAGCGGTGGCGGCCTAGTGATGCAGGCCACCAGGTTATCACCTCGAATGACGTGTGTTCGAATGTTTCCCTCAGCGCCTGACTTTCCTTNNNTTATAGTGTTTTGTATATCAACCCTTTGATCGGCCGATTCCCTATTCCTGAAAATCATATCAGTGCACATTCAATAAAACGAAGCAAAAGGAAAACACAAAAGAGTTATTAGTTTAAACGTTCAATAATTAAGTCATATTATAATTATTATAAAATATGTTCATAAGTAGGCATACTCATCTACCCCATAAATGACACTCAGACTGAATCGATGCCATAATGTTTCATTTTCAATTCACAGCAATTTCTCCACATGGTCTGTGGAGATGAGGAGGAACACGCTGTCCTGCTGGCCTGTTATCTACTACATTTAGAGCAGCTAAGACAGACCACAGAGTCTGAAGAACACACCGCGTCCCCACTCCAGATCTATCTCTGTTTCGGTGAAGCATTGCCAGAAGGTAAGCTATGCACTCCTGATCCCACTCGCCAGATTGCACGTTTAACGAGCAGTCGACGCGACGAATCGGCAACGGCCGTGTTTGATTACGTCAATGTTTTTTCTAGCACACGCGCGCACGCGCTCAACTTCGGTTTGATTTCCGATTGAGATTACTTGCGTACACTCTCTATACCGTACATACAACAGGAATTCTCGTACTCCAAATTGTCAATCTCACTGTTGCAGACAACCAGTAGTTAAAAATTACAGTTCAATAAAGTAGAGTTTTGCGTAGCCTGAACCCACCTCTGATGCACCAGCATATACCCACACGGTTTCCTCCCGATCGGTGAATGCGTGTGTGCATTTATGCGTTGACTGCAACACAGATAGCACTGAGTATTTCTAAGGAGAGGCTAGTCGACATGATTGACACAGCCAATCGAAACTGCACAAGAGCTTGATCCCACCTATAAAGAAATATACACCAATGATCAGTAGTTTCTACCTACAGTTTGCCTGCAGTAGTGAAACTGGGAATTCGACTTGAGAATTTGGGAAAAAGCTATTCTACCTTTTCCCGATTAAAATCATTCTCCTCCTGTCCGGAGGAACTTTGGCTCTATTGTGTTATTGTATTATTTATTTCGTTGTATTTGATAAGATTTTGAGTGAGAGTGGGGGGGGGTTAAGTCCGGAACACTGATGAAAACAAAGACTTATTTCATCTAATCGCTTCCAGGGCAAACGGTCTATGTGCTGACGGGAGAAGAAGGTCCGGAAATGAACAAAATGAGTACGCGATGGAAACTGTGGAATCCGTTACGGGGTCAATCGTTTTCGGTGAACAATGCAAACGGACCGATGCGATCTATTTGGGGACTTGCCAACGCACACAATGTGAGCCAGTTCTACTTTATTGCGGGCAACTAGATTCGTTCACCTGATGTAAACAGTATGTTCGTATTCATGTTCAGAAAATTTCAATCGACCTCGGGCAATATTTTATTTATAGCAAAATTGTGATCATAGCACTTTGATCACCTTTTATTGAGTGTCATATCCCAAGAAAACAAAACTATGTTCGAATAAGGCAAACAGTGGTCGAAGTTCAAGCATTGTAACACAAGATTTCCTTGAAATAAATCCATCCAAAACAGAAAAGGTATCACGATGCGTAATCCCATACACTTCGGTTCCAGATTACACACTCAAACTTGGTGGAATTCCGATGAACATCCGTAAATCAAGAAGTCGGTCACTTTCTAGAACCAGAAGAGCAATAACGCGTTGCGCACGACTTCGCATAGATGACACACGATCTTTTCCGGCGGAACATTATGCATTGTTTATCTTACCGTTCTTAATCAGCATCCTTAAGGTAGTCCTATCCAGAGCAAATTTATTGTTTCGGCTATAAGTTATTAGTTTTGGCGATTTTTAGCTATTACGGCCAGTTTATTAAGTATCCTGACTACAGACACACACTCAAGCCCCCATATGCTCCCACCTCCACCCTCACAGGTGTGGGCAAATATCCAAGCGAAGAAACAACCATGGGAACTTGATTGGGACCTCACCTCGCGGAAGTCTTGGTTGCCATTTTTCCCAGTCCGATCGAAGCATTCAAGAGGAAAACGTGATCCCGGTGGATTCGAGGACCGACCACCATTGGCCACAGTTCAACCGGCGGCTCTGATCTACGAACAGTTGGATTCACGTGAACTGGAGAATATCAAATTCGAATTGGAGGCGGCTTTGCGAGATGCTTTGATGGTTTGGCGCCGGAATAAAGTGAGTCCTTGATATTGTTATTGTGATCCGGTTGTCTGCTGAGATTTAGCCAAGGCTTAATAGCTACCTAATAACGTGAAATAGGTTTATCAATAGAAGTTGGGGATTATGCAATGCAGGTTTCCAACCGCAGAATCAGGCGTTTCAACTGTGAAAAAGAGTGTACGGGGTTGTGTAAGGGGACAAATTTAGAGACGATTTCTTCTCCCATACAAATGTACCGCGAGCTGGATTGCTAAAATTTCTTCCTAAATCCGTTAATGCACACCATGCACAAACGTGAACGAACAGCTGACGGTAAAAACCTGGAAGCATGGTTTTTTGATATGGGCAGTGTCTAATCACATTCCTCGTCATGCGGCACGGCTTATGATTCAGAAATGTAATGGGCATTTGGACCTCGCTAAACGGCTCACTTGTTCATCATCGGTCGTCCGAGACGGGTGGTTGGTAGAATCACAATGAGAGGGCAGTAATCTTACGGTGGTATTTCCAAACGCGTCCTGTGGGGTATTTTGCCAATTTTGCATGGATCATTAACAAAGCCTGCTGGATTTCCCGGAAAGATTATATGTTAAGTGTAATGCCGTAATCCTACGAAGTTTATCCTCCAAATTTTGGCACGAGAGTGATGATAAACGATAAATTTATGAGTAAATTCCCCATAGTTTTTTTTGCATCCATTTCAAGTTTTCCCCGTACATTTTGCATTTTTTACCACGGCAATTATGTCCATTTAAATCGCAGCTGTTAGGGATCATTGATATGGAATAGGCTATATTGATTTGGACTCACCATCCTCTAAACTGCCTTTTCATTCACAAATCTCGGTTCTTTCGATCAACCATAGACTTGTGAAGCACTGTACTTCAGTTTCAATCCCTTTAGGACTCATCAGTAGTGAACATACACCTTTTCTTCTGGGCTTTGAACTCTGGACCTATATTATGAAAGGCACGGGTGTTGCCACTGTATCAACCAGCTCAAACCGTGGCTGATCAAAATTATCAGGTCCAGTTTGTTCACATGGCGACTTCAGTCATGTTCAATCAGTTTATTGTCTTCGGTAAAAGTCGATCAGTTAATGAGGTCCATTTTTGGCCTTTGCTGTTCAGGCGAAACGCTGCCTACTCACCGTCACAGGAATATCTCTGTCACGGAGGAGACTATGGAGGCAAAGAAGAATACGCCAATAAATATCCAACTAACACAATGTTGAGGCTGTTCCCTTTTTATTACGAATGATTATCAAACGAATGGGAGTATCATTTGTTGACTAGGTTCTCTTTGGAGACCAAAAGAAATAAATGCTTGCCGCGTGGTCATATTGGTCTTCCAAGTAGACCAAAGATGGTGTCTCCCGGCCGGGATGTGAACGACACCGTTCTCAACGCTGCTTTCATTTGTCCATCCATCCAGCGACACCCCATTCACCAGTGTTTCACGCGTCAGTTCTGTGTTTGAACAATTATGCAATGTGGATACGTTTCTCCAAAGCTGTTTCAGATACAGGAGCCCAGAGGCCCTTTTCTGCTCTCCTCGACAACTACGTTGTTGTACCTCCTCCTAAAGAAGTGCCCTGCCCTGTGATTAAACTCAAGTGTGAATCCCTCGTCCTTGATTTTCCCATCTCAAGGAATTCTAAATCGATCAATGTAGTAGAACGTGACCAACCTGTAGCCTTAAAGTAAACGAAGGAAAAGAGGACTGAAATACCACTTCATATCGACCGCGATAACACACGAATGTCCTCCAGGGTCCTCTTTAGTTCGCGTATAAACCAAACAGGTATACTTCAGACGCTATTGTATTTGTATCTCACTACAAAACTTCTAAGCAAATGTATGAAATTTGTGTGACTATCTTCACTAATTTTCTGTTTGTTTCTAATCATTTATCAGTTCATAACTGTTTATCCGTTTTCATGTTTTGGCTGTCCAAAGAAGTTACCTGACAGGCTGGCAATGTATCAAGCTAAAGGCAACCACTTTCGAGTCTCTAAAGTCAACTTTAAGTACCGCCAGGTTCTGGGCTGTTAAGCGATCTCCCAATCCTCGAAAACCTAAAGCGCCCGTTGACATCATCGTGACATGAGCAAATGCGGCCAGACACGAAATGTGGCATCGCTATCACCCTGTTTCCCTACACGCGTTTCTTGGGCTATACAGGTGTTAGAAGTCCATTCTCAGACAAAAAGATCATGTGGCCCTGGGAGATGATACGAATCGTATTTTTAGACTTATTTGTGAATCAATTTACAGCTATATTTCTTACTCATTGTATCCGAGAGACACCGAGCGCTATATTCTTCTGGTTGTCAAAACATTAAGCTAGGAACACAAGTGCTGTAAAGGGATTCGAATATTTAAGGCAGAATCAAAAAAGTAATAATAAGTGGTATAGACGAAAGTTGCAAGTATATTGAGTCGAGGCACGAGTATTACTGTTGGCGACACCCAGCCACATTAATTCTAGTTTCCAACTACAACCAGCCGAAACCCTTCTTCGTCCTCGATGACCCTTCAAACTAGCCACGTTGAACGTGCGTACTCTGATGTGTTCAGTTCAGTTTCAGTTTCCACAACCAATAACAAATGCGTTTAACTCGTACACTCGAGACCCTAGTCATCGATGTGCGTTGTATCCAAGAGACACACTCAAGACTCCCGCTCCATTATTCATTTGGAGTAACCATAAAACCACTCTGCGAATTTACACTTGCACCTTTCTGGGAACCCTGAGACTGCAGCTCCCAGCCTTACTGACGGTAGTGTGGCTCTGAATGAGAGAACTGAAACCACGCTCCTGCAGTGGATCCCAGTTGACAATAGGTTGTGCACAGTGTGAAATAAGCAGCCATCACCCTGAATAATTGAAATCTGTTTGTCATGTCGGCGTATGTTCTAACGGCCTGGAGTCCAAATGCAATCAAAGGTATATTGTATTCAAAACTACACGAGCTCTTGCGTAAATCGATCTGGTCTGATATCATGGTTTCAGCAGGGAATATGAATGCGAGAGTAGGTCGGCTGCACTATGAAACTATTCATTAAGGAATGGAGTACCTGAGAAGTATGCGTCGATCCCCAAAGAGTTATGTTGTCATTCTTAAGTTCGGGTTAGGGCCTATGACCAGTTTCTATCACCCTTTGCCGTCTGGAGCTAAGCGGGTTGTTGTGGCCTGCGGTCGAGTGAAATGTTTACCGCGCATCACGTGTTTGACCGTTGCGGCCTGCCACCACACGCACGGACGCACGTCATGCGGACTTACTCTGTTACAAGGTCGATCCACCTCAGCGAATCAGAGGTCAGTATTGATCTCTCCTCATTGATTGGTTCGTTGACTGCCCAGCGTGACGACACTCCTTTTGGTAAGACTTGCGCCAGTTACTGTGCCTGCCTGTCTGCGTGTTGTCGCACTGCTTGCTCACCGGCTTACGGACAGGCTACGTTTGCGTTTACATACTGGAAATATAATTACTACTTAAGTCACTACTTGCCTACTTATTGACTCATACGGGATACAACACGGGTCATACCCTATATCTCTATTCCTTTTCAACTTTGTCATAGAGAATGTTCTTCAGAATGTTTTGATCGTTCTGTCAAACGATCGAGTCGAACTCCTCCCAGGGAACAGAATTGTTTACTTAGAACATGCCGATAACCACCTCGCTGGGTGACAATGCACAGGCAGACCTTTTGGCGATCGAGATATTCAGGTATGATATGTGATTTGCACAATTCGAAAACAAAGTGCTTATTCAAGACTGACAGGAGCCTACACCTGCACTCACCCCCTGTAGTGATCAACCGGAAGTAGTTGCGAGCTCTTATTTCCAGGGGAGAATAATTGCAACTGGGGTGGTGTTAGGGAGAAGATGACATCAAATCATAGCGAAGCTATAGCAGCTTTCGTCAACCTGTGATAGTTGTAGCGCTGCCATGTCATCCGGCTTTCATTAAGGGAAAGGTGTGCATGATCGTAGTTCGCTGATTTACAGTTATGGGATACTAATCGACTTGCTGTATTCCACCACAGATGTCTCCAAAGTGTTGTTCGTGTCTGGTGTGAATACTGGGTGAGCAATGACGATGTTTGTAGTCGTGTATTAGGTGTAATTAGTCGTTTTCTATAAGAAGTAATAGCTTTACACTCTCTCCGATGGTTTGGTCTTGTTTTGCGTATCCCCGTCCAAATCTACCGTCCCGTACTCATTTTGCACGTGCTGCCCAAAGACGGAAAAAACGTCGAAGCGGTGAGATCATCGCATGGCGTAGCGCTATGAAAAAGATAGGTTTAGCTTCTGCTTCTGTTGGTGCAGCCTGCCTTCCGTACCCCGTAAAAACGATAAAATAATACGTAATGTGGTTTAGTTTTGTGGTGAGTAAACAAAGCTCGTTTCTCTTCAGTTTCAATTTTTCAAGTTTTACAACCATTAAACATGTACTTTCGTGCTCTGGTTTTAGTTACTGTCTTTTGGCCACCCATTTGGATAAAAGAGCAGAGTGAAGATTTTCGAATGTTGAGAGCAAAACAAAGTGGACGATGGAGAATTCATATAGACTGGGGTTGCAAGAATAATGAATAGATGCATGAGCACCACTGTTTGCGATACCCAACCATATCACTGTCTCTAACCAGTGGTGGTCATGATCTCGGAGTCCCCAGCCAGGGAGCCTAACGGGACCTGTGTGACCAAGTCTTCTATAGTTAGGGTTTTCATGGCCTCATGCCAGATTTTAGTTTGACGGCCCTGACCTTCTTAGAACCTCTATCTGCATCGGCAAACATCGCTCACCGTGGCAGCCTATTTGGTGACATGCGTAACACATGCCCCAACCAGCATAATATATGGAGGTCTACTACTTGCTCCAGTGGACGATTGCGATTACCCAAAACTCTACGGCTAACCTCAGCATTGCTCGTCTGCTTACCTCACCAGACTCGTGCAATGCGACGTAGACAGCGGTGTTCAAACACCGACCATCTATTTTTCTAA